GCGTTGGCCAATTATTTGTTTTTTCTCGTGATCATTCAGTACAGTGCTAGTGAAGAGCTATGTATTATTCTTCTGATTCGACATCATGAGGGCTGTTTGAAACTGAGTATGAAAACAAAAGTATATTATTAAAGCACAAAAAATAGTAGCGAGGTGAAGTAGAAGCGTGATTGCGTCGCCTAGATTCCTCTTTTGGCGTCTTCACTAAAACTAGGTTGCTCTTTTACATTTTTAGTGATGCTGAAGCGATTCACGCAGTAAAAATGCTTAGATAGTAGTTTTACAGCTCATTTGGTGCAATTTGAGGCTAACCTGCCCACTTGCCAGCTGTTGCCTCCCGCAGCTACACCAATTTATTGCATTTTGCACCTTTTCTGACAGGCTTAGTGCTTTTTTCACTGAGTCTGCATCGCTGTCGAGTTGATCACCACCAGTGCCTCACTTTGTCCGTATGGGTCTTAGTTATCGGTGCAAAGATCGTGCCACTTTACAACAAAAAAAATGTTAAACTCATGATTTAAGGTCAGATAAATCGGCTTTGAGAGGAGAATTCTCCGACATAAAAACAGTCTGAGGCAGGGGCAAGTCTTTTGAGAAAAAGCTTCGGCATCGTATTTGCCGTCATTAATTTCTGGCGGGATGTTAAATAAGCATCTGCATCCTGATTGTTTTCGAAGCACAAATCATTTATAGGCTTACGGTGTTGTTCTGTGGGAGATTTGTACGCTCGGCGGTTTTCCGTATCCGACGGTCAGCGACAAGGATATCCTAAAATATCTGCAGCAGGGTAATCGTCTGGAGAAGCCGGCCTCATGCAGCAATGAAGTGTCCGTTTTTATCATTTCTCTACTGTTTTGCTCAAAATCAAATTTCGCACATTATCAGTAACGGGCTTGAGGAATATGGAAATCAAATGTTTTGAGAACTGGTTGTGTGTGGCCTCATTCGTATTTCCAAAGGAAAGCATTTTGTACTCTTTGCAAGAGACATTATTTAGATACGATGTGATGATGCAGTGCTGGGCTCATAACTCAAACGATCGGCCATCATTTGCATATCTTTGTGAGCACCTTAACGACTTGAGCAGCCAGCAGTGCCCATACGTAGAATTTGTTCCGCAACAAGCTCTGCCACCACAAGGTTTGTTGCTTTGTAGCTCTTGCTCAAAGAACTGCAAGAAAAAAAAGTACTGTGTGAGGTCGGCGTTACTAATCTTCTCAAAAGATCTGCGCTCTACAAAAGTTCCTTTTGCCCATGTTTCT